ATGCAATGAACAGAACCACGCTCTTCCATGTCTTTGAATAGCCAGGAAAGCGATTAGGACCAGGTGGGGCGATGATCATTATCTCACCGTCCTTTTCATTCCTCCCACGCACCAAAAACTTGTGATGGATTAGGCTGTTGTTGAGGAGAACTCCGGCAGTACTACGAGCCGACATACCAAGGACACGTCCATTATAGAGGGACACCCCCGTGAAAAATGACACGTGTATTGGCATGGGCACTGCCTTGGTTCAACCTTGCAACATTGTCACTGGAGCCACATATCCGCATGGACAAGAAGCCAAAAGGGAGTGCAACTATGTCCAACATACTAGATAAAGTTGTTGGATTGGTGTCACATCAGATTGCTTAGAGATAGTTGGGGGGAATGGTTGTGTCGTATAACCAGGCTCTAGTATAAGCAGAATGTACAAAGTGAAACACAAGGCCATTACACCACATGGGTGGTCAACAAGGTCGTCCTAATGTCGATGAAGAACAATATTAATGTTTAACGAGTGAGCTGTTGTCCCTGTTTAAATTCAGTGGAGTTACATAGGGGCCATCAATCTATGCTTATCATAAATACCATTGCCACAAACTTGTTTTAAAAAGTCTCCATGTGATAGTATAATCAGTCCTGCTCCAAACGTCATGATTCATAGACCCATCAGCAGACAGGAAATTCCTTTCCTTATCGATGTTTAACAACAAACAAGAAAATCCATACCTGTCCCAGCTGTCTGTAGAAGCTGCCGGATGAACGGGACTACCCGACAGGTCTGAGTCGACATGTCTATCGTCGCTGCAGGACAGGAAGTGTGTGATTGACACGGTTGTCATCGTCGCTGAGATAAGGCTGTAGCAATGGCTTGTAATAGCGATCAGAAATATTACCCAGGAAAGACAAATAGTAAGCCAAGCCTAAACTAGGAATTTTATTTGAATGGCAGTGCCTGCAGGAACTACTATTCCCATCGAGCAAGCATGGCAATTTCCGTTTCCGTGCTCAGTCACATATAAGGCAAATCACAGATTGAGATATTTTAGTTTTGATGTAGTTTAGTATGAAACTCTGAAAATCCTGAACTTGTCCACGCAGCTTTAACGAAAAATGGAGGTATTGTTTTCGGTGTGTTTGTGTGCGTGTGTGTGTGTGTGTGTGTGTGTGTGTGTGTGTGTGTGTGTGTGTGTGTGTGTGTGTGTGTGTGTGTGTGTGTGTGTGTGTGTGTGTGTGTGTGTGTGTGTGTGTGTGTGTGTGTGTGTTCCGCACATTTGTAGCCAGCATAACTTCATAACGCCCTTATGGATTGTGATGATATTTGGTATGTTGGTAGGTCGTAGGTAGACAAGGTCAAGATCAAATATGGGCTTCCTGGTGACTGACCTTGGTACTGCAGCAGAACTTCCGGTTTTTGTATCTGTTGTCCTGAACATGCTATGGCCTTGGATTTTTGGTGACAGATAGCTTTTTCCAGTCAGTCAGGAATAAGCGTGGTTTGGGTTTTGTCCCCCTAGCAGCATGTTCTGGAACTGCAGGGGAGTTCCTGTCGAAAGCTTTTTAAAGTGGACAAGTCCAGAAAGGAACAACGTATTTGCAACATTTTTGGTACGTAGGTAGCTTATGGAGAGATGTACATAACTACATGCAAATTATGTAAATGAAGACTTATTTTGCAAAATTAATGAGGAAATTCTGTAATTACAGTGTTTTACATGATGATACTTTAAATTTATCTATGGCAGGTGGAACATCATAACAGTTATGCAATCAATGACCTAATTTGCTTAATTAATGTGGTAATTCTGTTATTCCTTAATGGTGAATGATGGGGTGTAGACTCTCACCATCCAACAATAATTATGACTCGTGTCTCACATTGATAGAGCGACGGCAGAGTGGATTTGAAGACGTATAATTCAAGAACCGCTTCGTACGAACACTTTTTAGCTTTTCTGAACATTCTGTCGAGGCCTTAGGGGCAAACGCTTACTTCTGTGGACATGCTTTCCAGAAAAAACACCGAGTCAAGAAAAACTCGGTGGCCAACTGTCCTCAGCAAAACATACAAGAAAACATTAACACAATCTCAAGCTACATTTGTGTTAAGTATATATTTGATGTTAGCCATCTAAGATGAATTGAGTCCACTCATGGGGATCCTAATTTGACTTTATCAAATACATTTTGGCTACTGGAGCGCAATTACGTTGACTACCAAAGGGTTTGATTAGTGGCTTGTGGTATGTGGTTTTAAGCAACCATTCGGTCATAATTACTAAATTGTCGCTGTACGTTGGAAAGGTAATGGTTAAGGTTTTGGAAAAAAAGGTAATGGCAATGAATAATGGAAATAGTGCGGCTGGTTTTCTATAATATTTCTATAGTGTATGGAAGTTTTATTTTGGTGTGTCTGTTTGTGTTTCCGCAGCTATTTCTAAAATCTATACAAAGCACGTCTTACAACAGGTGACATGAAAGGAGGGACAAGTCAGAGGCTGCTAATTCATGGAGAGGTATCGTTTTAGGTCTGTGGATTTGCTATATGTTAGTCACGTTCACCGTAGAGTGACAAGCAGAGATCAATGGATACATGTTATGTTGATAAATAAAAACTTAGTTAATACATGATTAGATACGACATACCGTACGAGAAACTCTCAAAGGTATTAGATATTTTGTTGTTCAGTTATGAACTTTTGTTGTTGTTGTGGAGGGTTCTGACGCCATGTTACATAATTACTCAAATTTCTGTGCAAGAACATCACTTACGAACCGTTTCTCTGAAAAACCTTACACTATTGAGATGGTTGCAGGCCAGGATATGGTACGTATCAAGCAGCACTAGTGCGGCATTACATCCACCACCTTACAGTTGCTATTCTAGTACATTTGAGGCTATATTTTTAGTCGAAAACCATTACATGCTTTGGTCGATGACGCCACCTAGGTTCATAAAAACCCAACCGTTAGATTTTGATACTTACCTGCTGCTATAAATGTAATGGCGTGAGCGAGCTATATGTCCGTACAGAACTGACCTTGTCTTGTGTTTTGACCTGACATCCTGACCGCGTAATCGAACCCGATTACCCAGATGAACACGCAAGCCCGCTGGTTGTATGTTACTTTTTATAAGTGAGAGGCAATCGCCTGGTAAATTGTCTCTGCTTCATGTGTGTTCCGATGCTGCCCAAATCGATCCTTACTGCGGTGCATCTACCGTCAGATCTACTGACAACGCCAATCTCTTTGTGCGCCCGTATTCCGGTAGACTAAGCCCACTACAGGATTCATGAGAACTAGAGATGTAGAACTTATCTCATTCAAAGTCTGCCATGTCGATGAAAACATCGAAAAACGTCTTTCAACTTGCAATCATTTCTAGACAGTGAAGATTGTTGGGAAATTTGTTCTTTGGTAAAACATTATATAGCACTGCAAAAAATGTGCATATCTAGAAGGCCCTCGAAGTGGACTTGCTTCCCTTTATCCATACTGCTTCCAGCGTTCTCACCTCACAGATTAAGTCCGATGCAACAAAATGTCACTGTGCAAGATCAAGCAGAAAGATAACAACTAAGAAGTTCTATGATAGCCAAAATGTGATAAATGATACATGTCATGCGACCATGTATTTTTGGAACTTTAAATTGAGCCGATAAAAAGTTGAAACCGTGCCAGCAAAGTACCAAAGCCACTGCTGTTCACAGTATTTATAGATCACATACTGGAATGGAGTATGGTAGGACAAAAACAGGGATATAATCTTATTGGTATTGCCTAGATACCATATCAATCATCGCAAACTTCAATCATTCCAGCTTCTGGTAAACACAGGTCGGCTTCTATTGTTGTGCCAGCAGATCAGATTACGACACTGCTTTCGAGTCCATTTCCAGGGGCATATGGGGACATTGAAGCAGCTTCAAACGAGGTCTTGTATACATTTTCTAATAATGTATACATTGGCAGTGCATAGCAGTGAAATGACATTCACATCAGAATTTTGTAAGCTTGGGTAGTGTATTTACCACTGATCTCCACCTGGAAAGTTTTCAAAGCCATTATATAAAAATGATTGTAGATAATTAGCAGATGCAGAATGACTGTCTTTTGAAATTCGCCTGAATAGGATTTTAGGCCTGTACCTTCTAAGAAGGTATGATTTTAAAAAAAAATGTACCAAGAAGTATAATTAAGTCAACAACCTGATTATATAACAAATAGGCCGGTGGGATGAATAGTAAGGAACCAGTTCTGTATAGGTAATAATTGTGCCTGGCCTCTCGCTGCAGAGTCGCGAGTATTTGACGTATAGAACTCACATCGAGTTGCCCCGTTAATTTCGGCATCCTCTGGTAAATCAGAAACCCTGTGGATGTCAGACCCAGTTTCGGAGACAGAGTACTTCAAGCTTCCTCCAGCTACGTTGTTGTGCCAGACTGTGCGTTTTAATGGTTTTGGCTCATCTGGTTGATTAAAAATCTAAAAGTCGCATGGAGCAAACTTAAACTTAGGAAGGTAACAAAATTTAGTGAGTAGTTTCTCTGCACATAGTCTAGCCTGACAAAGAAGAAGTATACAATTTTGACGTTCCTTACAACTTTACTCCAAAATTTCGACATTTGACACATATTACTTGTGGTGACAACATCGAATTCACTTGCAATTACACTGACGACGATCTGTGGGTTTTAAAGGTTGATAAACTGTCGTCTGTGCATAACTTTTCTACACAATTCATAGTTGCAGCACATATAGATACAATGATGTCATGTAGTATATTGTACAATGTAAACGGAGATACCAGAGTCACTAGAAATGCACTCTTTACATAGGAACATGATTAGAGGTCTCTGATACTTTTCTGATAAGATTCCAACAGATCTAGAACTCATTACACGGATGAATCAGGCACTTACACGTCGTTAGACAAACCAAAACTATTACCGTGGTCTGGCTGCAGCACATTATTCCATGTCGTCAACATCAACATCAACATCAACAGTCATAAATACAGCCAATACCAGTTACTGTAAACAACATGGTGACTGGGGTGATTACGATAGACTGATTGGTTGTTGTACTTGCATCGTTGACCATTGGAACAATACTTCTTAACACTGTACCCTGATTACCTGTTGAGGTACTGTACAATGTGCCTATGTTGAAGGACCTAAGGCTGACTTATACTCTATTGTTGCATTGAGCAACGTTGTCTGTACAGGTAGTAATGCTGTCATAGCTTTGTAACATGTAAATTGACAATCGGCAAATGACTGGTCATCTGTCGAATCGAAAGAAGAATAATCCATCATTATCAACAACAACATAAATATAATCATCATTATCAACATCGCCATTTTAAACTTTGTTTTATGTACGTTATACAAACAGATTTCGTAGCACATAACCGTACACATAACTTGCACAATACCTTTGAAACATCAAATTAGCAGTATTAATTACATGATAAGAAATCATTTCTGACTGAAATATAGAAGACTTCTTTTTACACAGTTCAAACTTTTTATTCTACTCCTTGATTAGGATATATACTCACGTCTGATATCACCAGACATTCCAAAACCTGCAGAGATAGCAATTTTGATTTAAGGGTTATGTGTTGGTTTTGGCAACACGCACATCCTGCTACTATGTTGTTATTATTATGTTTTGCACTTCCTCACTCCTCGGTTAGTCCACATACTAGGTCGACTGAATATCAGCTGTTACGGTCATTGATACTGGATACTAGTATAGTTTCTTTCAACCCTGTTGATTTATACATGTTCTCTTTCAGGCGCAGTTTATTTTTTACCCTGTATAGCCTTGCTCCCCTTTCTCACTAGCTACAGAACCCCTGTCCTACTCTCTAATGTTGTAGCTTCCGATCTCCGTCATCTCGATCTCTTCGAACGTGTCCCCTTCGTCAGGCTGCTGTCGTTGTCATACGGACCTGGGGCCTCTGTTGGAGGTCCTGTACTCCGCCATTTCGTAGGTCTCCGCTGGGCAGCAGGGACAGTTTACCGCGGCAGCGTCGCTTCCTCTGTAGGCCACCCGCCGACACAGCATCCTCCAAAACGCCTTCCGAAAGTCATTGTTGAAGGCGTAAATGATGGGATTCAGCATGGAGTTGACCCAACCCAGCCACTCGAACACTGTGAACACAGTGTTGTTGATGCACGTAAAGTTTGCTTTTCCCCCTGTTCGCAGCGGGCAGAACGGCACGAGGCAGTTGAGGATGAAGAAGGGGAGCCAGCAGACGATGAAGACCCCGAGAATGCAGGCTAGAGTCTTGAATATTCGCGTTTCTCGTCTCAGCGCCGTTCTGGACTCCTGTACGGACTTGGTGTTCTGGTTGACTGAGCGGTGCAGTGCGACAATGTCCTCGTACTTCCGCCGGGCGATCTGCATGATCTTGCTGTAGGCCAGAACCATGATGATGACGGGAATGTAGAAGCTGACGAAGGAGGACGTGATGGCGTAAACTTCGTTCATGTTCGACTCACACTGTCGTTGCGTGACGGTTATTGTTTCTCCTATCTGGTGGAAGCCTAGACCGATTGGAATCAGGGAGATCATTGCTGACAAGCACCAGGCCAACCCGATCATGAGGGCTGCCCGACAACACGTCATGTCCCGTTCGTACTTGAAAGGGTCGGAAATCGCCCAGTACCGGTCCACGCTGATGACGCAGAGATTCAAGATGGACGCCGTGCAGCACATGACGTCAAGGGAGACGAAGGTCGAGCAGAACTGTCCGAAGGGCCAGTATCCCAGCAGCTCTTGCGCCGCTGCCCAGGGCAGGACCAGGAAACCTACCATGAGATCAGACACAGCTAAGGAGCAGATGAAGTAGTTGGTGACTTTGGAGCGCAGGTGCGGATACTTCATGACTGCAGTGAGAACCATGAGGTTCCCTAGGATTGTGACGAGGACTATGAGGTACAGAATTCCTCCCACTCCAACCACCCGGAGCAGGTCTACCCCCTCCAGGTCCTCCCATCCCTGGAACATGTCGGAACTGTTGGTGCTGTTGTTCACGGCTACCATCGTCATGTTGTCTGGGGGCGGCTGGTGAACAGAACCCGGTCCCTCTCTATGCCGGTATCTTTAGTCAATGTTCTGTGATGAAATAAGGAAAGAAATATATTCAACATTGCAAAATAAATCAGCTTTTGAGTATCGAATACAGGCCCAACGAAGTTACATATTAATTAACTTGATTTGATAACTTGGCACGGGTCGTAACCCCCGAGTGATATTGCTGACGTTGGTGCCTTCTTCACGTGTATACAACGCCTGTCTGTCTGTCTCTGTCTCAACATGATCGATTTTCCATTCTGCATTTTTCGCTTATATGTTTTGCAGACATTACTGTCTGTTAATTATGGCATTACGTGCAGACAGGGAATAGAACAGACATAGGGGCAAAACGGCGGAGACATTATTTGAAGTGTCAATCAAATATTGTATCTTTTCATGCTCAAGGGGCAGGCTGCATGCTGCGCGCTCCGCGGTTTGCGAGACCTCCCAAGTGACCCTGAAATCTTGTTCACAATTAAGGCCCTTAGCAATGGCATATATACACCTCATCAGTCAATCAGGTATTCCCTGTTGCATACTGATGTCTGCCTTGCGTTTTTTCATTCAAACACCATTACCGTAGCGTACTTTTCTTCCAACGTCGTATTTTTAAAAGCTTAAAGTTTTCTACAGCAACATATGATGACGGAGGATCCATTATTACGGATCAGAGTAGAGCACGTCATCGGTCAGACCACGCACCCCGCTCAGGACACGGCATGGGATGAACCCAAGTATCCTTGCGTGGCAACACGTTTGATGAATTGTGGATTATGTATATGTCTACATAGTCTTACAAGAGAGGCCACAGTGGCAAAGAGTTGTCTGCACGAAGACTTACACTTAAAAGTCTCATTAATTATTTTTTTTCTTATTAAGCTTCACCACATGTCTACGTCATAGGTATATGGTAAAAGTGACCTCGCTAAAAATCTTCCCGTAAGCCTTCCTTGCGTTACCATTAGAATCTATGACAAGTCTACGCCTGGAAGCCACGCAACCATTTATCGAGATACAAATGCAGCTTGTTGGAGACTGAGCGGCACCGAGAAATATCCCTAGTTCGGCTTACTTACCGTAACAATACATCACTCCGTGCAGTCTGTGGGAATTACCCAGAAGGCATGATGTGGCCAAAGATTGTGTGCCCAATGACGTATACGTCTTGGAACTTTTTTGCGCAACCGTTGATACCGAAATACAAACTGATCTCAAAAGTAATGTCGTAACAATCAATTTGAACCTTTCTGAGCTATCTTAAGTAAAGGAATACGGATACATACTTCAATACACGTTGTAAACGCCAGTAGCACTAATCTATTTTATAGCGGAGATATAACGAGGTAATTTATCCCTTGGTAGAATTAATGCACCGTACGACAACGGTATTCACCAAACGGTATTTCCAAGGGCAATGAAATATGTAGGACTCTCGCTCTGTCAATTGAACCTTTTTCAACTCGACCTTTTTACAGAAGCAGAAGCTATCGTAGCAAGGTTGTCTCCAACTTCGTTTTGGCCTGAACTACCCTCATGATACTTGTGGTGCTACTTTAAGATAATCCCGTAAAGTTGAACTGAGGCGTGTAAAGACATATTTAGTAGGCAACAGAAGCCAATAATTCACGTAACCATTATATGTAATGGCATTTCGTATTTTCTGTCGATATTGAATTGGCTGTGGAAAAGCAGTTAAGTAACGCTAGAAGACATTATTTACGCTTTTACGTATCCCTTTTGTAGTTATGGTGTCGTGACCAGTCTGCGGCCATGCTGGAATTTCAATAAAATGCCAAAATGCTGGGGTGTGCTTAAAGTTGTTATGCGTGGGCAAAGGGAAGCGCAATGTGATCTATTCCACCAGCTGAAGCTCTATCTACATGGCAGGGCGTGTGTTTGAAGAGAACGTCCAATATTCTCCTCAGGAAATTGCAAAGAATCAGGGGATTTCGCCTACCGGAAACCAGCAAACCTTAGCAAATAGAATCCCGACTGTGTACTTCATTACATCAAGTAATCACTGCTCGCCCCAAGTAAAGTCATTTGGAGGTTACCGCAAATGCGTCAGACAAGCAAGGACGAACCGCCTGGGGTTTTCTGCGGATTTGTTATGACGATGCTGATGAGCCTGTATTGTGTTCCTTGTAAGAATGTCACAAAGTGTTCTATAAATTGAGTCGTGTATATACCGGAATGATTTTTTTAAATCCGAAGAGAAGTTCGCGCTACCGGCTGGCGTCATGACGTTGTCGGCTCAGCTCGGTCGCTCCACTCCGCCAGACAAGCGCCGTGAAACGCACAGAATCTAACATGATGGACGTGTTGACAGCCACAGTGACCTGTATCTGATGTAAGGTTGCTAAGGGCCTGGGGTGGAATCCACCCGTCTGATTTACGCCTTAGACTCAATTTGTGATAGACATGGCTATATGTGTGATAGACATAGCCGCATACCCATGTGGCTAATGGCTGTTCCGTAACGGTCCTGGGAGGGTGAAAAATGGAAAATCTTTAGTACAGCTGTAATGGACGGGTTGTCAGGGTAGCTGGGCCATGTCTGTCCTTAAGGGATAGTAATATCAGACGGGGTCAAGTTTTAAAGAAGTACTTAAACCTTCTCACTGTGAAATTTCATGTATGAGACCTTTTCAAATTAAAGCTGTATTTTCACAAAGTTGATATCACAGAAAAATGTCAAAGATGACACAGAAATCTCTGCAGAAAGAGATCCCAAAAGGAAAGGCGATATTTACGATGATTCCTCTCGATGGAATATACCCTCTTCATGCCCTTGTTTCACGAACTCCCTAGAAAGTATGCTGCAAAGATAAGGCTTAACAGGAAGATGTTTAACTTTTGTCGTAAGTTCCAAAGTTTTGCTGACCACGCAGTTTTGCTGACCACCCAGTATGCCTTAGACTTTATACAATGTCTCCATACCTGGGCGTGAACATGCACTGTTAATCACAAACCCGTTCTCTGCGCTTGTGTCGCCAACAGACAAAAGTTAAATGTGATCTGTACGACGTACATTCATTTATATACATGCAACGGTGCTGAAATGCATAGAAGAAGCCTTTGAATAGAATTGTTAACTCAGTAAGCCTATGAGGCTGACAAGGTCGACACCTTAAGTTATATTCTATATCCTGATGTCATTCTACATACCGTCTTCCATATGTTACACCTTTGATTTGTCAGAATAGAAGATTATATCAAAGTTAAGCTTGGGGCATTTCGTGCTGAATAATGCGGTGTATTATTGACCAGTTGCCAGGCTGAGAACGGATCGTGATTACTTCTTCCTCATTTCGACACCATTCAACGGCTGATAGAGAAGTAGCCAAGGGAAAATCATTATAATCACAACGGAGACCATTTGAAGACTTCGATTCGTCGTTAAGATCACCAGATACAGGAAATCATCTGCAGACGGAAATCTGCCAGGCATTTCTTCCAGGAAACGCGATGATATTTCTGTCTAAAATCGTTGAGGTCACCATTTAGAGTATAAACGGTGACACGGCAGGAGCTACCTTGACATTTCCACGGGATGATGCTGAATAATGAATGAGAGCTGACGTCGTAGAACGGGTCTTTTGGGCAGTAAAATTGGTCACGCTGGCTGCTGGGATTTTTCCTGGGTTATCCACAGTTCCACAGCGGCCATTGTTTCATTAGTGTGACGGGAAATCCGTGATTTGGGGGTCTCTTGGCAACATCGGACAAATGTGAAGTTAGACACTCAAGCTTTACGAAATGCCATGGCTGCAGAAGCGCTTTTTGACTAGATTAACTACACTATATCCATGCTGCTTCCGTTGCTGCTATACATGCATGAATGCATCGCTTGTGCTTTTTGCCAGATTTGCCGTCGGTCCATATAAGTTTTCCTCATTACTTATATGTGCAATAGGAATGTTAATTACATCCTACATTGCCCAAATGCCATGGCCAAAAGCAAAGGAAATTTTTCAACCGCTGCTTGAGTGAAATCCATCAAACATCTATCCTCTTCCAAATTCTCCAACAAAAGGCCTCCTGCAGTGTACAAAGGGCCACTAGGGGTGCAAAACTATACCATTTACTCTCTCCCCCAATTGTTATCTCCTACTAAAAAATCGGAGGCCCATCTTTGAACTTTTCCTTCCTCTTGGCAACGCCTTCCCAAATATCATAGGGATCCATCCACAGCTTCTCGATGAGTTATGCTGTCCACAGCACCACAGACTTACAAACAGCAGAGAAAACACAAACTTCTTGGCGAAGGTAATAAAGACATGTGTATGGGCCCGGGGTAACGTCCATTAATGAAAAAAAAACGCCGCTTTTGAATACCACTTTGTGCTTTGGTACAAACATCAGCTCCAGAGAAATTATCTAGTGACGAATGACACCAGGTAGCATTATTGCTAGACCCTCTACGACAATGAAAAGTAATCATCATGATAAGGACATAATAGGCTCGCCCGTCTAGACATCTGCCTTCGTCGTCGTGCCAGCTAATGCTGTGATTTATTTGACTAAATGATGGAGAAAACAAACGGCGAGTTATCGAACTGAGATAAGAGTCCTGACTTTAAACATGTTTTATGATGCTCAGTTGGCTAATAAAGTCAAGGGATTATAATGCCCACCCATTTTTCTTCAAGAAATATTATAACAAGGTACTGGCAGTGCTGCCATTGCATCGGAACCAAATAAAAGATAACTTTTATTGAAAAAAAATTCAAACGGTTCTTTTAAAAGGGAATGTGTTAACGCTAGTGGGCGTCCATCAAAGACACCACAGCTGACCACAGTCGCACCATGTAATCCGGTGATCAATTCATAATCTGTACTTAACCTTAAAGTCATCGCAGCATTTCGCACTATAGCAACACTCGAAGATGCTAAAAGCCTGGTGAACTTTACTACAGATTAGTACGTGCAATTAGTACCCACTCCCTTATCACCGTAAGCCATAAAGATATACCCCGTGTTCGTCAGGGACTGAAGACCTTTATGTAACCTTTATTCTCGGCGTGAAACCTTTCATT